CATAAAGCAGGAAGAACAAAATTAATCGAAGCAAAATACAAAATACCGACCAACCTCGATAATTTCATGACATCACAGTTCACGAAAAACCGGACTGATGACGTCAAAAAATATCGATATGGTTAGTCTTTTCCAAGTTTGTTTTACAATACAACAACTATTATAATAGGGAAATAAAGATGGTCGTGCTTCTTTTATTCACACTGAAAAAAATCAGTTTTTAGATTTAAGTAGAAACTATATTAGTTGTTTTGGTTTTTTAAAGTTATCGGCTGGATTTATCCTACGGCAAGATTTTGTAGAATAAAATTTGTTGTAAGTGATAATGCAGTTTTGTGAATCCGCAAAGCGCTATTTCAGAGGTGTCATACAAATTTATATTTTATTTTTCATCAGAATGTAGAAGATATGACAAATTCAGACAAGCAATCGTGAAAATATTTATTTAATGATGGTTAGGTTGATTTCTTATCATCTCGATCTGTCTTAATGTAAATCTCCTCAAAAATTCTGCTTCCCCAAACATAAATTGTATGGACTGGACTATAATAAAACTTGAGAAACAACTTTCCACTTATAATCTTAGGAAAATAATAAACAAAGAAAACACTAAAACCTAAAATACTTTAAATATAATATTATTATTGTTGTACAATAGACTGTTCTCCTACAAATTCTATCCTTAATAGCTGGATCAGTATCCTATTTTGTATTCGTTTAACTAACTGTAGAACTATCGGTCCACAACTTTGAAGTTTAACTAACTGTAAACTATCAGTCCACAACTTTGAAGTTTAACTAACTGTAAAACTATCAGTCCACAATCTTGAAGTTTAACTAACTGTAGAACTATCAGTCCACAATCTTGAAGTTTAACTAACTGTAGAACTATCAGTCCACAACTTTGAAGTTTAACTAACTGTAGAACTATCAGTCCACAACTTTGAAGTTTAACTAACTGTAGAACTATCAGTCTACAATCTTGAAGTTTAACTAACTGTAGAACTATCAGTCCACAAATTTGAAGTTTAACTAACTGTAGAACTATCAGTCCACAAATTTGAAGTTTAACTAACTGTAGAACTATCAGTCCACAAATTTGAAGTTTAACTAACTGTAGAACTATCAGTCTACAATCTTGAAGTTTAACTAACTGTAGAACTATCAGTCCACAAATTTGAAGTTTAACTAACTGTAGAACTATCAGTCCACAAATTTGAAGTTTAACTAACTGTAGAACTATCAGTCCACAAATTTGAAGTTTAACTAACTGTAGAACTATCAGTCCACAAATTTGAAGTTAAAACACATACATGCTTTACACTTACCATTTGTCGCACACATTAACTTTTATTATCTTACTGCTCTTGAATTCTGTCTATCAAAACGTCTGACATAATATGTATGCGTGTTGTTTGATTTAAACAAAATTTCTACAAGACATCAAAATAAGTAAATACACTTTGTAAACAGTGCCTTTTTATTAACTCACAGCCAGCTATTTTAAACTATTGAATATTATACAGCCTCAAGGTCTTTGTGTCTGGTTATTTCCACCTTTTCATATTCTGTGTCTCTACTTATTTCCATTTCCTAAATCCAAATGTCTGTGTTCAGGTTTTAAATCTCTGTGTATGACAGTCTCCAGATTTTAGTTTTAAAAGCTGTGGATTGACTGTATTTGTATTTTAAATTTGTGTGTCATCTATACTGTATCATGCTTTTAAATCGTTGTGTCTGACTGCTTTTCAATATATTTGTCTAATTGTATTCAGTGGGCATTTTTGTGTATGTCTAGCTTCTACATTTGTGTGTCTGAATGTACGTGGCTTGTTGTATCCATCCTCTAAATCTGTATGTGTCTGGCTATGTGCGCCTTCCATATTTATGTTTCTGGTTGTAACCTTCTTCGGAATGTGTGTGTCTAGTTGGGTCTACGTTTCTAAATGTGTGTGTCTAGTTGGGTCTACGTTTCTAAATGTGTGTGTCTAGCTGTATACATGCTTCTAAATCAGTGTCTGGCTGTGTATTTGCTTCTAAGTTAGTATGTCTGGCTGTGTACATGCTTCTAAATCAGTGTGTGTGTGTATGTGTGTGGCTATACCCATGTTTTTAATTCAAGGTATCTTGCTGGATACATGCTTCTAAGTAAGTGTGTCTGATTGTGTTCATGCTTCTAATCAGTGTGTCTGGCTGTGTATATGCTTCTAAGTAAGTGTGTCTGATTGTGTTCATGCTTCTAGTCAGTGTGTCATGCAGTATCCATGCCTCCAAACCAGTATGTGTGGTTTTGTACATGCTTCTCAATCTGTTTGTCTGCCTGTAACTGTTAAATAATTACTCTAGTCTAGAAACACACTATAAACGTATAGTTTTTAAAAGTTATATGAAATGTTAGAACGTTGAATCTTCTTTGCCACGTGAATATATCTAAAATACAAACAAATGCTGCGTGAACATATTCATGATATTCCATATTCAATAAACAAAAATGTTCGAGTCTAACTCAAATTTTGGAATATTATTTCCATAGTACTTTGATATTAAAAGTATCAAATTTTTCTTTTTTAGGTAAACTGTGTGTCAAAAGGTAAATAAAGATTCATTTGCCCATTAAATGATTTAAACGTTCTTCGTAAAAAAAAGCAAAAAATTAATCTAAATACACGAAATATACTTTAATAGAAAATTAGCAGAAGTTTAAAGAATTTTGTGAGTTTTATTACTTACACTGTGTTATATACAGTATGTTCAACGAATTTCACTTTTACCTAAAACTTTTTTAAAGGATATCATGATTGGTGAAATCACCGCCAGCGTCAGCAAAACGTGAGTGAAAATATCGTAGTAAATTCCTTCTAAATATAAATAAGACAACGTTTTCAATGAAGAAGTGCCAAAAATAACCCAAAAGGTTATGCTATGTGATAATCGTGCCATCCACATTTGTTGTCTGACGTCATCATCACTGATGTGGTCGGGGGATTCATCTGTGCGGAACAAAATAAAACTTTTATTTAATAAGTGTTGTTTCAGTAGCATCAGTTTCTGACAATTATAACAGGAATTACGTCAGAAAATTATAGAAGTACGCCACCTGTCATGATTTTTAGGAAACAAAATATATACTGAATCATTCAGTACATATACATGCGAAAAAATTACCAGATGTTGATCATCAGGCAACTGCATAATGACATCACTTGCATGTTTCATAGCTCAAAACCATTTTTTAAACAATTAAAAGCTATTTTTAAAGCGTCAATGAAAATATTTTTGATTATTAATTATTATATTTAAATTGAGAGATTAGTCTTAAGTCTAAAGAGTGTTGTTAGAGAGGCATAATAATGGCAACTTACCACGTGTCAGTTTATCTTCTTCAAGGTCACACAAAAACAATGTTCTGTTTCTCACACAAAATCTTATTAACAGCACAAAAAGTACACCTAGAAGATACAACACATTGACCAGGATTTCAGTTTTAACGCCGTTTTTTGATATCACTTCACGACAAATCAGTGTTTCGATTCGCCAGTCCAATGTCAGCGAAGAGTTACGACTGAGAGGATGGAGGGCTGAAACACTGGTAGTTATACGTCCTTTCTTCCAATCCAAACTTATGAAGGTTGTCTTCAATGTGGCTGTGCATATTATAACACAATTTACAAAAATAGTAAGAACAGTTTGGGTCATCTTTTGTCTCGAGCATTTCAGATTCACTGTCCACCTCCTTAATGGTCCTGTCAGCAGTTCCAAACTAAGCCCAAGATGCACGTACGAAATGACAGCTACACCAATCAACTGCGCAGTGCAAATATCCGTAGTAGAGAAATTATCAGGGATCCAATTGTCTCTGAGAATGAATGTCGTTAACACTGAAAATTCACAAAACCACAATAGAAGATATAAAATGTTACTGATCGAGAAAAAAACGTTCCTTATTTCCATCGTCCAATTGCTCAGGGGGGATTTTCGTAAACTGCTTATTAACCAACGGGTATTGGTGTGGAGGAGCCATAAAAAAACAGTAATTCGGAAAAAAGTCGTGGCAACAATAATACTTTCTGGAAACATTATTGTCTTAACTTTTTGATACGTAAGTCTTAAGAGAAAATAATCTAAAATACACACTTTTTCTTTATTGCAGCCTTGAACTTGGTTTTTAGGCTAAACTTAATGTCCATTACTGTAAAAATATTGTACATACCTATCAAACAAACAAATTTTTGCTCTATCTGTCTTAAACTTATTTGACCAAACGAGGTGTAAAACTATTTACATAGAGATTTGTATTCGAAGGTTTGTGACGAAACGGACAATGTCACCTTCTGCAACTAGTCCTATTTCCCGACTGATAGTTTGCTTGGGAAGGTTCATGCAACGACTGATATAGAAGTGTGGATGAAGTAGGTCACGGGCTCAAATTTAAGGGGTAATGACCCGAGCTAGCATGACGGTTTTAACTCGAGAACTATGGCTGAGTTCGAATGTCTTGGGAAGTGCAAAGCTTTAAAGTAGAAAGTAGGACACTCGTTGCTTTGAAACCGGTTCTCTCGCGTGACATGTTTACTTATTGTTTTATAGTGTACATGGATTAAAATATAATGTCGAAAGGAACAGAAAATATGGTTTGAAACAAAGACATAGAGATAAGTCCTAACTTTGAGACTGAATCTTTGGATCTCTTCCGTTTGGTGCCAACCAACAGTACAAAAACTATATTTTCCGTTTGGTGCCCACCCAACATCCCGAACGTGGAAGGTTATTTTTACCGACAAGAAACTGTAGATCACAATGAAAATATTGTAGATCCTGAAACCTGCAGACATACCCAAAATATTGAAGTATGTCACAGTTTAAAGTGAAGAAATAAGCTTCAATATGGAACTCATCGCCAAATGATTGACTCTTATCTTTGTAAATTTATATGGAGAAATAGAAATAAAGCGCAGAATGCGCTAAATAAATTTCATATAATGTTTTATTATTAATTATTTTATTTTATTGCATTACTGGTGTCATTTTCAAAACGATCTTTGGTGGGCACCAAACGGAAAAGACCCGAATTTTTTTTTTTTTTTGGTCTACGCGTTAAATAAGTTGTTGATCTGTAAGGCAGTGTTAGTTCATCATGATAAATTCTAAGCAAAATGCAACATCCTTATCATTTCGGGAAACTGACTGAGAGTTTAATCAGCCTTGAGTCAATCCACCTAGTTGTTTTTTTGTTTTGTTTTTGAAGATGAAACTTTTCCACCATCACCCTCTTCAGGTCAATTATAATAAACCCTTTGAGCTGTGGCAACCTTTACAGTATTTCTTGCCTTATGGAAAGTCGAATGCTTAAACTTCCAACAACATCAGGATATTCATCCTAAAATGCACAGTACTGAAGTTGTGTGATTACGTAGCAACACCTTATTTAATTTCTGTAGTGCATGATGGTGTATAGAAGACATATTAATACTAGAAATAAATGACCTTATAATACCAAAATGTTGTTTTAATTTAATTCGACGCTCAACATGTGGCTTTACAGCTTCTTCAGAAGCGTTCATTAAAATACAAACCGAAACTGACAGTACAAAGCTTCATATGGTTTAATTAAATAAAAAACAACATTTTGGTATTATAAGGTCATTTATTTCTATTACTAACACCTTGCTATTTCTTGCTTTATTGAACCTTAGGTGGCTAAAATAATACTATAAAGTACAAAGTACAGGACGTGATGTCAGTCTGGTCATCCATCAATAAATGTATGTATCATGTTAATGTAATATGCTGTGTACGATAAAAGTAGGTGTAAAGTTACTTTATGTGCACACAGTTCTGTTTATACTTATATTATCAGCTGTTACTGAATGTTAAACCCACTTGTTTTATTTATTTTATAAATATAAAGTTAAATACCAGCGTATTAGGTATTTATATACTAAGTTCTTTAAGCCTGAAAGATTATAAAGTTACAAAATAAACAAAAGAAAAATGTGTTGATAGTGATTGTTCAAAAACCAATTCTAGAAAGTTTGATAAAACAAAAGATCTAAAAACATGATGTAGTTTAAAAGAAAATTGTAAATGAAATTTTGATTATTTATTTTTATGTCTATAAGGAAGACAAAACATTCACAATACGGCAAATTCTCCTTAATTTTAAACTGCCTCAGAAAACTTGGTAAACTAAAGTGGATAATTCTGGGAATTATTGAAGAAAACTTTGATTTTAAACTTTTTTCACAAGTAATAGATAGCACTAACGATTTTATGTTTTTACATACACATAATACACGTTATACAGCGGATAGTTTTTCCATTCTTGGAGATTTACGTGCATTCTTATAAGATCCACGTAGTTACATACATATATTACTATTATCGCCAGAAGAATGTATCAAAGCACAAAAACTAGTTTTGTAGGATGTTTTCACTAAGGATTGTTTAAGTCCCTATTATAAATCTCTAGCATCTGGTCCTATATTAATAAGTGATAATACATATACCACTTCAGAGATCTTTAACGTTATAATACCACCACTGCTTTGCTACCAGATCATTCTTCTTCATTAATATCTTCTTAAGTAGTAGCATGACTAAGAAAGGCAATTACCAGGTAAGATAATTGTCACCTAACATAATTTTCAAAGTTTTAAAGCATGTTTATTCAGGATGTGCCCCCCCCCTCCAACCCCCACCATTGACACAGCTGTGTGTTTGCGGACTTACCATGCCAGAAACTGGGTTTCGTCAACCGTGGTGGACAGAGCACAGATAGCTCATTGTGTCTAAACTTACAGCTAACTATATTCTTTCTAATGGTTGTTTTTCTCACTTTTTCATTTCCGAGCCGATCGCCCGCACCGTCGTCCAGCCTATTCTTCTACCATTATCGATATTCTCCTCGCTCTTCTCCAACCAATAGACCACCGAGGCTTCACACAGACACAGCTTTGTACTTAACTACCAACATATAAACTAAGGATATTTTAAGACTACAAAAAAAGCTGTGCAACTAAAGGGTGCAATTATTTTCGAACATATTTTGCTTAAATATTTATTTTTTAGTGTAGTGTTCATGAAAAAGTTTAACTACAATTAGTTTGGATAATAAAAAATCTAGTATACTTAAACTTTAAGAGCACATTCAGGCAATATTCTTCTTTTGAATTTAAATCTTTTTTATTCCTTAAAAATATTAAATATTTTTAGAGCAAAACCACATTGGGCTATCTGCTGTGTCCACCACGAGGAATTGAGCTCTGGATTTTAGCGTTTTAAGTTCGTAAACTTACCGCTGTCTCATCGGGGACTCAAGTATCTTAAAACGAAACCAAAAAAAATGAAGGTTTCTTTATACTAAGATTTGTTGTTTTAACATATTTTTAAAGCAGTCTCTCCTCTGTTAAATATTGACTTCACTATTTGATATCTGTGGTAAGATGAATCAATCGTTTTTACTATTATTATGAGATTGATTTCCATTTATGCTATTAATTCTTATTTATCGGGTGTTAAACTGTCTAATTTACTATCGTTTACAGATCGTAGAATGTTATGTTGTCCGTTTTCAGTCTTTATAAATCCTTTTATTAGCCACATATACAAAGTCACTCCTACCGTTTTCAACAAATTTAACTTTATAGCTCATGATCCAAGTCTTATAGGAAAGTCGGACTTTTATTTTTTCTTTAAAAAATTTCGTTCAAAATCAGGTACAAAAAATTATTTCTATTTTACCACAGAATATACAACGTGTCTATAACATTATTTTTCTTTAAAACTTCGAGAAATTGCAAGCCTCATAATGTCCCGTTTTATTAGTGCTGATGTATCTGTGAAACTGGCTTTCATTGATGTTTCCAATTTTCAGTTGGCATATACCGATCTATACAATTTGCATATAGGTGAAAATAAATTTTGCAGTAAGTTATTTTTCGAGCGTTTACTAAAATTTTGCAAAGATGCCATGGATCTAATGTACTGAAAAATAAATGTAATATATTAGGTGCAAGCTACAAGATACAATATCTAACAAGTTTTATGATGGTTACCTTACAGATGTAGTAACATTGAATAACAATAATTAACAAACAGGTATCTTAGAATCGACTACTAACAGGAAAGAACGTGTATTTGGTTAATATTAAAAGTTTGTGTTTTTCTTATAGCAAAGCCACATCGGGCTATCTGCTGTATCCACCGAGGGGAATCGAACCCCTGATTTTAGCGTTGTAAGTTCGAAGACTTGCCGCTGTCCCATCGGGGGACATATAAAAGCAAACTGAATATTTAAGTGACAATTTCAACAGACGAAACAAGATGTGCAATATAAAAGCATAAGGATTTATTATATGTATAACATAAAAGTTAAACGTACATCACAATAATTAATAACTGACATTACACGTTTAGTAATTGAAATTAAACAAAGAAAACATAAGTCTTGAGGAAAGTGAAAATATTTACACTGGTTCGCTGGTTTTCAGAGAGAGAACACTTCATGAATTAAACGTCTTTAGTGGACATCAGTACAAGAAAAAGATAATGAAAGATGTATTCCTGGTCCAGTCACTTTCAATGGGAATAATCTTAATGCTCTATCTTTCTAGCTGACCGACAGAAGTGCATCAAAGGATAAACGCTGTATACCTGTACATTGAGATAGGCCTTAGTTACACAAAAATGGCTTAGATTACATTGAAATAATGTTTGGTTGGACACATATCAAAAGCTAAAGCTTTAAGCAAAACCTTCCACAGGTGAGTAACAATTACGAATACTCCCTTGACCAAAATAGAAATTTCGCAAAATAGAATACTTAGTATGTCTATATGTATAGGTATTATTTATAAGTTGGTAAAGCTAGTCAGCAACAAAGGCCCTTAACGTTACCGAATAAACTAAGACAAGAATGAGGTAGAAAAGGCCTACCAAACTTTAATATTCAACTCAAGTATTTTAAGACTTCTAAGCTTAAACTGTGGGTAAAAAAGTAACAAAACTCATTCTTTTTATGAAATGTCTTACCATTTTATTTTATCAACATAAACCAGAGATATGTACCTGCAACTCTGGATTACACAGTATTTCTGGATTTACTATTAGTAGCATACTTTGTCAAAAGTTTCATAACCTTTGCAACATTTGAATAATTTTGAAAAATCTTAATTTCGTTTAGGCGTTAATTCACAAATCCGTAAATTTGACTTGTTTATACATTTCGAGTTTCTGTATCGTATCTTGGCTGATCGTAGCCTAGTGTCGAACTACGAACCAAAGGGTTCGGGGTTCAAGACATAATACCACTGAACACGTTCGTGCTTTCACCTACGGGAACGTTATATAAGTTACAGTCAATCTCATTACACAATTCAAAGAGCCGGAGAAATCCCTTATGGCGATGGGTGCTGCTGATTGATTGCATTCCTTTTAGACAGGAGATCAAAAGTAGGAACAGGTATCGCTGCATCCCAAGTGTCTCTTGACTTGGCTGTTCAGCCCGTGGGTATATACTGCTCAGGATGAGAATTCCTATTCTTTGAATTCTTATTAAAGTAAATACTCCTTTACAGAGTATATTTAATTGTTTATTACGTTTTGTTTAAACAAACAATTTGTTTTCATTATTTTCTGTTAGAATAGAAAAAAAATTTCGTCCACGATTGGTTTTACCGCAAGTCTTTGTGAAAACTTGACACCTGATCGAGATCAAGATGAATGGATTAAAAAATGTGTGTTGTGTTAAGCAACGTATTAATAATTTATTCAGATAGATTGGTAATAAATGCTTTGATATTTGACAATGCTTACATACGTGTTTGCTCGTTTAAAAGATACACAATGAGTACCTACAAAAAGCTCCAACACTACCATCTAGTGACAATGATATTTACAATATTAAAATATATGTTATCCAAACGAAAATATGGGCTAGGGTTCTCCAAGTCTAACCAATTAGCAACCAGTAATTACGTTTCACTTTTATTAATCTGCTTCCTAACTAAACCATAACCAGCAGTTTGCTGCTTGTCAATAGTAAATAAATAATAGGAAAATATCAGTTTAGAAGTAAAACTTTCCATTACCTACAATTTTCAATATCTATCTTTCAGTTTTAGAACCAAAAAAAGTGAATAGACAACAATAATGTAAATAAAAATTGGGTGTTTAGGTAAAGCTGTTGGGTTCCTCAGTGTAGCTTTGTTTCTTTTTTACCCATACATGATTGTACATTAGCCAAACTTGAATTCCAACAGTAATCTAGCTAAATAGCTAAAAAAAAAAAACCGATACTAAACATAATGGAAGTGAATAAAACATTATTAAGTTCTCCTTGTGTAATTAGGACAGCATAAAGAATCTTGTGGGTAAGGTAAAGTTGTCTCTAAATATACATAATAAAAAAAAGGCTGAAAATGTGAAATAAATCAATGATTCTTTATTTTTGTTTCAAATACTGTCTTTTTACAACAATATCACATTATTAATACACGACCTTATAACACCAAAATGTTGTTTCTATTTAATCAGACACTCAAAGTTTCACTTTACAGCTTCTTCAGGAGCATTCAACCAAACAGACTGTACAAAGCTTCAAATAAAAATACTTTATGTTATTACGTCGTTTATTTCTACTATTTATACGTCTGTTATACAGCAATATGCACTACAGAAATTAAATAACATCACATTATCACAAATTTTGTCTTAGAACATCACATTTCTGGAATAAGAAAAAACTACAGTATTTGTTGCTCACTTGTTATAATATTTATACATTGTAATTGTTTATCCTGTTTTCTCCAACATACATACTATATTTTGATAGCTGTATGCAACAATTTACAGCATAAAATCACTCAGCTGTGGTAGTACAAGAAAGCTGGTTTTCAGACTATGCATGTGTGTGAATCAAAGTAGCATTACAACTTGCAAAAATATTTTTACATAAAATTCAAAGTTTAAAATTTATCTTCATGTGTTCATTAAGACTAAAATTGCTGCCTTTAATTCAGTCTTTCTGATGAAAGAAACATTTATGGTTACTTCAGAATATCACACACATAGCTTATTATACCAGAATTCTGAATTTTCTGGTTGCATTTTTGCAGATCATACTTCACCAGTTAAATCGATTATTAGATACTTCTGATTGGTGATTATTAAATTTAAACTGGTAGTCAAATACTTAAAAACATGTTTTATGTTAATTCATCAACACTGCATTTTTAAGGCCATGCTGCTCAGATATAAGCCTCAAATTTTTGTCAGCAAAAGCCAAAATATATGTTGACAATGCTTTTTAGCATCAGTAACCAACTATGGCCCGTATGTTTTAGATCTACCAAATCAGCTTCTTTCCAAAGTATATGTTCTGCTCTAAACTGGAATAATGTAAGTAGCCTCAGAATGTTGTGAATGTTACAAAAGTTAACTTTTTTCTGATAGGTACTTACCTCCTATCACACAAAGCTATTTCAACCTTCTACAGCCCTCTAACAATGCTAAACAATTTTTACGATTAGTGCACCAGTCTATATACCCCCCCCCCCAATTTTGCACCATTTCTCAACATGTAAATATCATGTGACTACTCTCCACCAATGCTATTCCCGCTCAAGCTTCAATTTCAAGAATTGGCAAGATCCAAAAAAAGAACACCAGCAGTAGGGATGAAGGGTGGGAAGTGTGCGCGAGGAGGCAAGTAGATATAAAAATGCATTTTCAGTGTAAGAAAAATGTTAACTTCTAATACAGTCTCACATCCCTCACACACAAAGTAGAATTCCCCATTGTTAGGATGGAGGAACTAGTGTAGGTACACAACATAGCAACTGCCCAGAATGAATGATGTGCCCCGAGATGAAAAGGAAACATAAATGTGGGGTACTTCTGGAATAGGTAGGCTCTTTGCCCATGAAGTAGGAAGTTAACCTAGTGCAGGCAGAGGAAAGGATGTGCACATGTGCAAATTGTTGGAGAGGTGCAATCCATAATAAGATATAAACAGAATTAGCTATATACAAATAAAACCTCAACTAGAGAGACGAGGTTCCATAACTCATCCTCAGCATTAGGAGGTTGAGAATAGAAAAATAATTAATATAATGTAAAATATAGGAACATAAACATAGTGGCTGGAGCATGTGTAGTGTTATATACACACACACACACTCATCAACCCCAATCTTAAGTAAACAGAGTGTCATATATCAAGCAACAGGAGTTACAAAGAGGAAGTTAACTTTCAGCAAAAACCAGGCAAATTCCCAAACCATAATGCAATGCCTTAACCACGGGGATGGGGCAATATCTGTAACCAGTATTACAAGGAGAAATCATAAAATCGCTCAACCATAAATGCAGGGAAGAGAATGCTACATCCAGAATTACAAGAAGGACATGGAACATTCGCTCAACCATAGAAACAGCGCATGTATGTTCTGTAGATGGAATTATGAGGCAGATGAAGTACCCCAAACTTAAACATAGGAACATGAAAAGAGCCTCCCACAACCAGAATTAATGACAAGAGGGGCCTCTACTGCACACCATAGGAACAACGTGGTGTCATCCCAAAACTAGTATTATGAGAAGGATCCCACATAGGCTGGACTTGCTCCAACCTTTTTCTTTTGACAGCTGTCCACCTGGGAAATGCATCCAGGACAATAGAAGATGGGAACCAGCATTGCCCTCTTTTCATTGAGTAGATAATCATGAGCATGTATGGTAAAGTAAATTTGTAAACTCACTCAATAGGAAGCCTCCATAATCCACCACCCCAGGAACTGGGAAGTGGCAAGGACTCCCATGCTTCACTGTACGAATAAGAGGAAGAAAATGCAGTGAGGAGTCTGGAAGAATGTCACACTGGAGAAAGTGTAATGGGTGTCCACGATTCCCTATTTTGAAAACCAGACCAACCCCAATTTATTCAATCAAAGGATCAGCAGAGATGGGCAGAAACCCCCTTCTGCTTTACTCAAGAACTCCATGAGTGACAGTCCACCATGGAGTGAAAATTATCAATATATAAAAATATATATATATCACTGGGTATGCCCCAGGGGTCATGTGGAAACACCCCACCTCTACAGTGAGCATTATAGTGCAATCAGTAAATAGTGCAGGTTTGAGGCAAAGCACAGAGTGGGATCCCATTATCAGTGGTTAAAACTAGGGTAGCTGAAAATAAAAACAAATGAAAGAAAGTGATAAGACTTACCCCAGTCAAAGGTAAATGGACATGTGTAGAATCGCCACGGGAGGGAGAACGATGTCTATTACAGAAAGATACAGCCAGATCAAGCATATAATGAACAACAAAGCTATTAGGAGTAGTCCACATTCCGGCTTGGACAATCTTTTCCAATGGATGGTGAAGGCGAGAATCCAATGATATAGTGAATTGGTGAATATGATGGGAAGAAACACTGTAGTGACAGCGACCTTCCATGGATAAGTCCGAATTCACCAGCCAAACGAGTTGACAAACCCAATTAGTTAATCTGACAGGGAATAGATCATGGGAAATGGAAGAGTTCCAGGGAATAAAAGTCATGAATTTGAATCCCAAAAGGAGGCAGGATGTGCCACATAACACCGTAAGGAGCAAACTGGACAAAGAAGCTGATCAGGATTAGAATGGGTGTACCAGTGGGAGATGGAAGTCAAGGAAATGGATGTGAAAACCAAATAGTATAGATCTTAGGGAGGAAAGACTGGACAGGATATAGTATGACATAAAAGTAATGATAGAGGAAGCAGGGAACATTAGAGGCAGAAACATCTGATCAACAACGTCCACAAGCAAGAAGGAAAAATAGGTCCTGAGGGGCAGATGGTAGATGGAACATGAAGACAAAGGTTCAAAGGGAGGATGGAAAAGGCACAAAGGACCACAATGAGATCCCAATGAGGCAAATCAACTGAATGTGGTGGATACATGACTTGAAAGGAACAGAAAAAGGAGTGAAATGAAAGGGGAACATGAACTCAGATTAAACCTGGGGACATGGAAGGTGTTTGACAAAGCCACTCGATAGACAGAGACAGTCGAAGTGGAGAGTGTTTATCAAACAACCAGGTGAAGAATAGGAAAAGATGAGAAAAGGGTGGGCGAGAAGGATGAAAACCACATTGAAGAGACCAAAGGCAGAAGGTAAACCATTGACTGTGATAAATGAACATGGAAGAAGGTCTAATGAATCAGAAAAGGAAAAGTGAAAAATGTAGAGTCAGTCCCTGGGCTGAGACAATAGACCTGACAAAAGCCATGCATGAATGTGGAGACATCTGGATGAACACTGTGCAACTGAGGTTGATAGAATAGAGACTGAGACAGAGGTAAGGGTAGGGAGATTGTACAAGTAAAAGTCGGAGCAGGAGGAATGATGGTTGTACTGACCAAGATGGAGCCACCAGTAGAACGAGATACACCAGAGTGGTTTGAAATAAGGATATAACTCTGGAATGGAATAGGAGAGGAAGCATAGGTACGAAGACCCCTCCAATCTTGACAGAATGCAATTACCCCGAGAGTTAGGGGTGAGGAATGAGAGACCAAATTGAAGGAAGTTTGGTGTGTCCAGTGGGTGTTGAAGGCATATATGATGTCCCTAGCTGATAACATACCCACCTAAAGATCTGTGGATTGAGAGACCACTCAGTGAGGAGAATCTTGTTGGGAGAAAATAATCAATCCACCACCAGATTCAGGGAAGAAGGAGAAACTCCCCTGATCTAAGAATTTCCATTGAAGGCAATGCATATAAGACCAACACATGGATGTGAGAGCTTCCAAGGAAGCCCACATCCCCCCAAAAATAGAACATATCAAGCCGTAAGAAATGTTAGGTGAAGGAACTGCTTGCTCCAAATCCGAAAAGGAGAAGGCTGGGTACGACTGAGGATGGAAAAAAGAACCCCCCAAATGAATGGGGTATTGAGAGGGGGTAAGAATGGACTTCCCTAATGTCACCAGAAATCCCACCTATGTTGCTTCCTGTAGGAGCAAAGGAGTGGGGTCTCTGGACTATGAATAAGCAAGTAGAAGTCAATCATCCATAGAAAGAAGAGTGCAAAGACTCAGAGTGAAGATGTCAGACAAGATTTTGAAGGAAAGTAGTTACATGATATGTACATGTTCAGAAATGGCAGGAAATTGATGGGGTATATAGATTGGTGCACTGATTGCGAAATTTTTTTAGCAGTGCTTAGAAGGCAGAAGAAGATCGAGATAGCTACATTGTATTTGAAATCACATTTTGTTTAGCATTTCGGAATCCACAGACATGCTAGAGTTTTATATGTTCTGATGTCTTGGAACAATTCATTCATTTAAAATACTGATTTTGTTTTTAACAACAAGAATCTATTAAAAACCTTCGACTTAATTTTAATCATAACTGCAACCATGAAACATTCTTGTAGATTACCTAATTTTAAATTACAATATATATCTGTTTTTGTAATGAATACTAGTGTTTATGGAACCAATTAGTTTCATTATTAATCTGAGATTCAGAAATGTAAACTTTTAAGCTTTATTTTTCTGTAAAGTATCAAAAACACAAACTAAGTTGCAACAATAAAATCGTGCAAGCAATTCAATAATTATTAGATTATATAAGGAGGATTCAGTGTGATTGCAAATTTAGTTTTAAACATCACTGTGCTGCCCACTACTTCAGTGGAGTAACTTAGTTTTCCATAACTGATAAGCCTAATTGGGAGTGTATGTGAAAATTTGAACACTTTGGTTGAAGGCAAAATTATTTAAATAAAATCATTGTAACTGATCACATAACACGTTTTTGGGATTTAATTGTAATTTTTAGCTTTCTGAAAATATCTTATATTGTAGTCAATATAACATCTAAATACTTACTTTATCCGTAAAAATATCTGGAGTAAAACCAACATTTTCTGATTATTTAAACTATCACAGCAGGCTAGCTTCAAATGCCAAAAGCACAAGGGTGTTTTAGAACATTGCAATATTCAGCAAATACCTCAAAACTTTACTTAGCATATACTATATAAAAGTGCACACAAATACATAATATACTTTATAAAATAAGGCAATCAAATTTTTTATAAAAGAATTCCTGTGCTTATAACTTGGTGGGTCTGAATTCCAGTTGGACATCCTGTGATAATTTAAGGGAAAACAAAAATTAGCTCAGAATACAAAGCTGATTTTTCTTCTTTTGGTTTTTAACAGTTATTTCAATATTGAATCAAGAAATATGTTATAGTATAAATTTAGTCCATCAGATATTCATTTAAATTATATCTGTATAAATGTCAAGAAAGTTTTTCTCTACGATAAAACCCCAAATAAGCTATGTTAGTTATAGTAAGCTCAGTAAGTGATGAAAAAAATATTGTTGAATTACATCCTTATTTATCGAATATAAAGATTATCATATCAAAATAATGCACAGAAGTTAACATTTTCCTAAACTGAAAATGTATTTCCGATACATACTTATCACCACTCACAAAACATATTTTCTCATTTAGTACTGCCCTCTATTGGCAGATGGTAGGAAGGAGGAAAGCCCTGGTGGGATGACGTCTCCAGTCCAAAAACTGGCAGCATTGGGTATAGTTCTTCCAGTCTGCAGTAGGAGGAGGAGGATACCCGGTTATTCACAAGTGGGAAAATATGTGCTGCATCCAGCTACAACCAACACCAGATCCACCGGGAACCGACATCTCCAGTTCAAAGCCTGGCAGCATTGGGATTTTTAATCCAGTCCGTGGTAGAAGGAGGGACAACTTACGAAGCTAGACCATCTACAATCAACACCTTACCTCCCTGAAACAGCATCTGGAGGATGGGGAGGATGGTAGGTAGGTGGAACATCTTAGCCTGAGGGGCAAACTACGTGATATGGTGGAGTTTTCAAACAAACCTGGCACTATGTGTAATTGTATATCAGGTCCTCGGTAGGAAGGGCATCATACCATCGACATCTGCAGAATGGCACCACCCTACTCTCAACTGAGTGTACGGTGCATCATTCAGGCATGGTCCACCACCCCAATGGCTAGGAACTCCACTAGAAGAAAGGAAGGTAAAATGCATTGAAGTCCCGAGGACCACATCACTGGAGACAGTGCACCAACGTAAACCATTTTTGGACAGAATTGTCATCGGTGATGAAAAATTGATTCTCTATGCGAATAGCAAACGCCAAAAACAATGGCTCAGTGATAAACAAAAACCACTTCCGACCCCAAAACCTGGATTCCATCCACAGAGAGTGATGTTTTGCATTTGGTGGGACATCAAAAAAGAAATTCATTTCAAACTCCTCAATCCACAGCGAACTGTCAATGCAGAAATCTATAGTCAGCAACTGTAACATTTAAATCAAGCCCTTCATAAGAAACGCCCTTCACTCGTCAATCAGAAAGGTGTTCTTATTCTCCAGGACAATGCACGTCCACATATGGCTCGTTTGACGCAACACAATATTATGGAGTTGGGTTGGGAAGTTCTTCCCCACCCACCATATTCTCCAGATATGGCACCATCAGATTACCACCTTTTTCGTTCGCTGCAATACCATCTTAATGGGAAAACGTATGCAAATATTGAAGGTGTTAAAGAGAATACCGACACGTTTTTGTTTCAAAGCCAGCTGATTTCTTTAACCAGGGCATTAACAACCTGATTGTAAGATGGAAAAGCATCATCGATAAGAATAAATGTTTTGTTTTGATATATAAGTTAATTAATTTCTTGACGACCTAATATATATATATGCTATTGAAGGAGATTAAAGAGAATGATATTCACTATTCTCAATAAAACGTATACGATATATACAGAGACCTAAAGGTTCAGTCTACAAATAGGACAGCGTAAAAATATGGTATTTAGTACTTTCAACACATAAGTTAAACGAGCAGCTCGTAGTCCTCAAGGTTCTATATATTGAAAGACTTTAGATACTGAAAGGAAATCATTAAATATCTGATATATAGTAATTTCAATGAAACTTATATAACAAATAAGCTAAATGGCTAGCTTAGAGAACCCATGGTACAAGCTATTTAAAGGATGGCTTGAAAAGTAAACGTATTAAACACATAAACTAAACGCCCAGGTTAGAGATGTCAAAGTTACGTAAGAATACTAAAAGACACCATAAATAGCATGACTTTCAGTATTACCAACATGAAAGTAAACGTATTCAACACTTAAACTAATTAGCCAGATCAGAAATACCAAAGTACAGGCTATTAAAAATGGTAGTGTAAAGAATATGGTATTTAGTATTTTCAAATAAACTTACACAACACAAAAGATAAATTGCTAGGTTAGAGACCTCAAGATTCTGTTTAATGAAACGTTATTGTTAAAAATTGGTATTTTTAATGACATTTATAGAACACATAAGTTAAATGGCTAGTTCAGAGACCTCAATATTCAAGTTACTGAAATAACAGTATAAAGAATATGGTATTTACTATATTCAACCTGAAAAGAAACTTATAGAACGTATGAGCTAAACAGCCAGGTCCGAGACAACAACAGTTAGGCTATTGAAGGAACAGCGTAAAGAATATGGTATTCAGTATTTTAAGCCTGAAAGGAAAATTATAACCTCCACATCAGCTAAACAGTAAGGTTGCAGACCCCGACTTTCAGACTACTGAAAGAAAAATGTGAATAGTATAGTACTCAGTATTTTCAAGGAAGCTTATGCAACACATATGGTAAATTGCCAAATCAGAGTCCCCAAGATACAGACTATTCAAATGATACCATAAAGAGTATGGTAGTAAAGAGTATTTTTTAAGAAACTTATTCAACACATAAACGGCAAGGTCAGAGATACTCAGGTACAGGCTATTGAAAGTACAGAGTAAAGAGTGTTTTCAAGTAAACTATTACGACATTTAAATTACACGACCAGTTCAGAGACCTCCAGGTTTAGGTTCCTGAAAGAAAAGTGTTAAAAGTATGGTATATAATATTTTAGAGAACATTTATGCAACACATAAGCTAAACGTCCAGTTTAGAGACCCTAGGGCAGTGGTTATTGAAAGGAGTAAAGAAT